CCTGTGGTCCCAGCTACTTGGGAGGCTGAGGCAGGAAACTCGCTTGAGCCCAGGAGTTGGAGGTTGCTGTGAGCTGTAATGCCATGGCACTCTACCTAGGGGGACAGCTTGAGGCTCTGTCTAAAAAAAAAAGAGCATAAACTCTGGTCAGCCTGTGTAGGGTCAGTGGCTTGGCTAGGGTGTAACTAGAAGTTTCTCTTCTCTAAGACCTTGGTTTCCTTGTCCCTAAAGTGCAACTTATGTAACAGTGCTACAGGACAAAGCACTCCGTCAATGTCAAGTCCGTCTGTGCTTTCTATCAGCAGGTAAGGCAATTTTCGCATTTGTTTAGTCATTTTAACTAGCAAGGTTAAAGGATGCCAAGCTCTGCTTGTATAGATTAAGGGAAAAATTCATTTCTCCTTTTCTTCTTTGGAGGCTTTTCCTTGAATTGGCTTTTCATTGCCATGGGACTGGTAAGATGGGTGAGCTGGGTAGTTGAGTGAGCCCTGGGGCTCAGGCTTTCTTCCCCTGGAATGTCCTTTCTGCTTGTCTCCACCTGTTGAAAACTTTCTAGTTCAGGTTCCGATACACAGCCCTAGTCCAAACTAAACTTTCCCTCCTTCATATTCTCAGAGGACTCTCTACACACTGTTATACTATGCCAGAAGCACTTCCTGTGCAGAGACAGTAACATTCATATTTGTTTTTTATCCTCAGTACTTAACACAATGTTTGGCATCTAATCTAATGAGAAAGGTCTAAGAATGGTACAACTATAGGGGAAATGGCAAATTTTTTTCCCCCTCCTGAGATACTATACTGTCACTACCTTTCCTTTCCTTTCCTTGACAATGAGGGTTTTAATAAATGCATCTGCATAGCATGCTAGGACCTATTGCTGTTATATCTCCAGTGGCCCAGTATCCTCGTTCACAGTGGCTAACAGCTGAGCCAGCTCCAAAACAGTACTTTATAGTCTGCTTCCATACTGCCTGTCTTTGGTTAAGGGTCCTGGGGAAACAGGCTGAAGCAAGAATTTGCATGAAGAGGTTTGGGGACAGTGCTTCTGAGAATAACACATGTAAGGGAATAGGAAAGCAAGAATGGGCAAAGAGTTACTCAACTGTACCGCATTTGTAACACAGTCCTTAGCCATTGCTACTGGAAGCTCTGAACTGCAATGGCCCCTTGAAATTGTCCAACACTAAGGAAGGGTACAGCCGTACATCTCTACACCTACCGGTGACCGGATATGGGCTGCCTGAGAGAGGAAGCACAACCTTGGTTGTGGCAGATCTCTCTGGCCAGAGGTAACTCCCAGATAGGGATTCAGCAGTGAGTCTTCAGCAGCCAACACTGCCAGTGGCTGGGAGAGTGAATGTCTTGGTTCTAAAAGGGAGAATGAGGCAACACGGCACAACATCCATTACGTGCAGTTCCCCGAAGAAGAAAGAAGTTCTAGAAGGTAGAAAACAGCTCTACCAAAGTGAACTCAATGCTGACTCCTCATCTGAGCTATTGACCCAGAAGCCAGAGTTAGTGCCAACATTTGTGACTATTGTCTGGAAGTCACTTCGCCTTACCTTGGGGTATATTGATGGAAAATAAGGCAACTGCACTAGATTACACAGTGGTCATCACTCAATCCCTTAGTCTGGGATTCAACAGATTTAAGGACAGAAACGTGCAAAGGACTTGAAAAGT